ATCTGTTACAGAGGGGCACTTTAGCGGGAGGGGGAAAGTTCTTCCCTCTGTCCGCAGCAGAGACGAGGGCCCAGTCTCCTCCATCTCGTGAGTTACTTGGGTCACCAACTTGGGTTACCGGCTCGAGGCTGAATTCAGGCTAACCTTCCCCTTGCGCAGCCTTAAGGCTGGGCTGTGGCTCAGCCTGGGACAGCGCGCAATACCACATGTCAATCTCCCGCTCACATTCCCGGATACTGCGCTGCCTGTTGGGCTCCTCTCGTAACATAGCTACTTGTCTGAAGAGCTCTTCTAGCTGGGCACACTTGCAGCTATGAGATGCACCGCTGCCTTCGGAGGCCCCACGGAACACGCCGAGGGACACGGCCCGCACTGGGCCTACGCCGGAGCAGAGGGAACGGGCACGGAGGAAGGAGCTGCGGAAGAGAGCAGCGAGGAACAAGGAGCGGCAGAGAGAGGCCACGGTGGCCCGACCCCAGCCAGCAATGCCACCGGCCCCTCTCAAGGGGACAGAGTGACCTGCAGCCATAACGAGGGGCCTGGAGACAGGGAAGGAGGTGGAGGGGTGTCTGCTACAACCTTCTTGTTCACCCCAGTCAGGCTTCACTGGGATTCACGAGCACCTGATCTATCTATCCTGTGACGACCGTCTCCCAAACAAGCTTTGCTACGTACATATTGTTAGGACAAAACCAGCAGAACTGTAACAAAGAACAGAAACGGGAAAACATGACTCCCTAGAATACCTTACCACCTTGTTTCGTTTTCTCATTGAGAAGGAAGAACTGTCGTTTTACTTCCACTTTCTGTTGAGTTGCCTGGGCCAAATCCACTCTTTTTGAATCAAAAATGTGTGAAAAGGGACACCCTGTGGACGCAGATTAGGGATCACTTTCAGCCTTTAGAAGTGACGGGACAAGGGGCAGTGGTTTTGAACTAAAGAAGGGTAGATTTAGATTAGCTACAAGGAAGAAATTCTTTACCGTGAGGGTGGTAAGACACTAGAACCGGTTGCCCAGAGAAGTAGTGGATGCCCCATCCCTGGCCACGTTTGAGGTCGGGTTGGCCGGGGCTCTGAGCAACCTGATCTAGTTGAAGATGAGCTCCCACGGCAGGGATCGGGACATATTTCTGTGGGTGGTGGGCAAGGTGCAAGAGGAAGGCCGTCGCCTGCAGAGCCAGGTTTCAGGCCTCCAGCCAAAGGGGGAGCGCCAGAGCTGGGGAGTCCCGCCTGCGGCAGGGGAAGCGCGCAGAGGGACCGGAGGCTGCGGCCAGAGCCAGCGGCGGGTCAACTCCCCTGGGAGAGCCCGGGTCGCAGTGGGGGGGCAGGACGCCTTGCCCCTCCCGGCCTGGGTAACAGTAGGGCCCTTTGTGACCTACCCTGGTGGCAACCAGTGATGCCCCCAGCACTGGCACGGCAGCCCCACAATGTCCAGGACTCCCACGAGGAAAGGACATGAGCCGTGAGGCTCATAGAGGAGCCCCCGCGGCTCGTGCCGGAGCCCCTGCGCGCAGGAGAGATGTTTTTCTGAGACACCTGGCACACCCCACTCGCAGGGCCAGGGTGTTTCCCCAAGGCTCCACCATCCCCACCAGGTCAGAATACGGGGCTGGGGCTGGGCCAGCGCCATAGGGACCCCAGGAGACCTGGGCCCAGCAGGCGGGCCCTTCCGGAAGGTGCTGGGGGCAGGAGAGCCGGTGCCGGGGCCGAGGTGGGCAGGTGGGGACTGCCCACGGGAAAACGGCATCCTGCAGGAGATCCCCCCTGTCCCTGTCCCTGTCCCTGTCCCTGTCCCTGTCCCTGCCCAGCTACTCCGCCCCACCACCTCCCTGCTCTGGCCAGGCAGCACCGAGGTGGGGCCGCTTGCTGTGGGCTGCCCCCTCCCCACCCTCACCCCTTTCCCCTGTCCCGCAGGGTGGCGAGTGGTTCCCCCAACAGGAGCCGTGCACCCAGGGCGGCAGAGGATGAAAGGGCTGCTGGGGTGGCTGCTGAGGACCATGAGTCGTCAGAAAGCCCCGGGCAATGCGAGCTGCACAGCGAGGACTTGGGCTCTGCCAGCCCCGTCGTACACGCGGAGAAGGACAAGAGCCCCAGCATCCCTGCCATGAGTGGGTATCGACAGGACCCCAGGGGACCGTCTCCTGCCTCGGGGCACAGATCAGGGCAGGGAGAGGCAGCTGGGCTGGCAGGAGGCAGCGGTGCTGCAGGGCTGGGACTTCCCCGCCCTGCTGCCAGCGGCGTTCTGGGGGAGGCACGGGGCATTCGCACGTCCCTGTAGGGCTTGCCGTGTGCAGGGCAGCGGGCGCAGGGCTGGAGAGAGGGCCCCTCTCTTCCCTCTACCTCCTGCCCCTGCCTACAGCTCTCTCCACTCTGGTTCTCAATCAGGTGCAGCCGTTACTGCCTCCAGCTGCCAGCTGGAGGGCGAGGAGAAGGAAGCCCACGACTACTTCTTGGCCTTTCTCAATGTCACCGAAAGGGTAACCGCAGATTTGGTCAGCAAGGCTCTGCCTGCAGCTCCCGGCTGGGTGCTGCCATGGCTGCTGCCTGCGCGCGGGCTCTTGCAGGGCTACTGGCTGTGCAGAGCTGCTCCCCTCCCGGCCCCCCGTGCCATCACTGCAGCCCCTTGAGCCCCTGCTCCTGCTGGCCGCGCCTCTGCCCCCTCACCCTCCCTCGCTGTCTCTCTTCTCCCCGACCGTCAGGAAGAGGCCGCCAAGCTGAGGTTTCTGGCCTCCATCCGCACACTCTGCAGAGCCTGGCTGCGGGGCAGGTACCTGCCTGATTTCAGATCAGCATGTGAGCTGGTGGAGAAGATGGAGGTGAGGGGACCCCAGTAGGGCTGAGGGAGGGGGGCAAAGCGGGCCGAGCACCGGCCCAGTGGCAAGGACAGCACTTGGGCGTCTGGGCACAGGGGGAGGGTGAGACAGGCCTCCGTGGGAACAGTCCTGCCTGCCATGGGGCTGCTGCGCAGCGAGGGGCTGCTCTGGGTGCCAGTGCTGGCCTAGGGACAGTGGGGCTCTGCCCGCCCTGCAGACTGGTGCCGGGCAGTGGCAGCTCCCGTGCCCCGTCCCCACCGTGCTCTCCCTCTCCAGGCACTATGGCAAAAGGAGCTCCCTCGCAGCGTGTACGCCGTGATGTGGCAGCAAGCCATGCTCGCCATCGCCGCAATGAGGTACCTGCCCCAGGCCCTGGCCGGGCCAGGGCCTCCCCCCAGCATTGGCCTGATGGCACCGAGCATCTCCTATCCTGGCAGGACCCTGGCGGCACTGTCTTTGGGCTTCTGCTCTCCCTCACGCTTGGCCCATCAGTGGGCCGGCCAGATGGGAGGGTGGAGGGTGCTCTGGGGCTCCCCGGTGCCTCTTGGCTTTTCCTCTGAAGGGAGAGGCAGGAGACGGAAAGGGGTTCAGGCTCCGCCGGCCAGGACTGCCCTCTGTCGCTGGCTCAGTGGCACGGGGGAGGGAGGAGATGCCTCCGTGTCTCCCTTTCCCACCTTGTATGGGTACCACCCTGGGGCCTGCCAGTCCCAACGTCCGCGGCCGCCTTCCCGGACGTGGAAGCCCCAGCATCCAACCAGCACCTTCTTTTCTGGCAGCGAAGAGAGGGAAGGCCTGCTGGACCAGCACCTCCGCCCCTGCCTCTGCAGCATCTTCCATCTTGTTCCAGCACAGAAGACGGACAGCCAACATGCTTTACTCGATGCTCAGGTAAGCGCGGGGTGAGCTACGGAGAGCCTGCCAGTCAGTCCCTGTGCACATCTTCCTAGTTGGCTTTGCCTGCTGGAAGACGATAGGAGGAGGAGGAGGAAGACCAGGGAGACCCTGAGGCCTCTCCCGGGCACCAGAGGGCAGCTGAGGCCCGCCTCGGGTGGAAGGCATACAAGCCAGCTTCCTGCAAGGAAGGAGGGCCAGGGTAAGCGTGCCACTTGCTGTATCCCCTGACAGATCCTGAAAACTCTGGACAGCGTGCTGGAGGTGCTGATGCATGGTGCTTCACCGAGGTCCAGCATCCAGACACTGGAGCAAATCTTGCAGGTCAGGCATTTGCCAAGAGCCGGGCTCACGGGGCCTCTTCCTTGCCTTCTCCTAAAGAGACACGACCTTCTGGAGCGTGCACGCCCCAGCCCAGGACCAAAGCAGTGGAAGGAGTCTGAGTGTCCTTCCCAGGCCCCCTACTCTGGCGGCTGGCACTGCTAAGCCGCTGCCCTCGCCGGCCGCCCCGTTCACGCTCTCCTCCCCAGATCGCAGCAGGGTGGAGGTCTGCTGGGCCACGGCCACGGCGCAAGGGGAGCCCAGCCCTGCAGCGCTCTTCTTCCGGCCTCCCCAGGGGCCGTAGGCCAGCCTTCCTGGTGCAGGCCCCCCCCGGAGGTTCCTGTCCTCCTGGAGAGGGGACACGCAGCCATTTTTGGAGGAGCGCGTGGGAAGGGGCAGAGGTGGCTGGGCGGGGCGGGATCTGGCCACCTCCCTGTCTGCAGCGGGTGACCAACTGCCGGCAACGGTCCCCGAGGCCGCGAGGCGGCCGGATCCCGTTCCGGGCCTTCCTCCTGCCTGGGGGAAGCCTTGGCGGCACATTGCGTAAACCCCGCCAGGCACTTGGCAGAGCCACCGCTCCGGGAGCCGCCGTCGTTTCCCAAGGCAGACCGGCAGCTCTTCCCTTCTCAGGTCCTGCTGCCCCTCACGGCATCCCAGGGAGTGGCGACGCGCCAGAGGGCTGTGGGGAGGATTGTCAGCCTGAGCCAGTGCGTGATGCCCTCTTGGATGATGGAGGTAAGGGGCCGAAGGTGCAGGCCACCTCTCGGCACCCCTCGCCCCTTCCTGGCGCCTGAGAGGAGCCGGTAGCTCTGGGCTGCCTGCAAGGGAAGCCTGGGTGCAGGGCAGGAGATTCAGCAAGGCTCAGCCCTGCACCAGCGCCTTTGCCCCTCTCTCTGGGAGCTGCTCTCTCCCACGCCTTTTCTCTCGGGAGCCAGCTCCGTCCCAGGGCATGGGAGCATTTTGCAGGCCTGGCGCTCTCTGGCAGCTCTCCCTCCCTCCCTCCCTCCCTCCCTCCCCGCCCCTCTCTGCCAGCCCCCCCTCCCTCCCCCCCTCCCCCCCTCCCCTGAGTTGCTGCCCAGCCGCTTCAGCGTTGAGAGCCTGCAGGGCTCTCGGGCCCTTCCTCTCCCCACTGCCGCTGCCCGCCCCCAGCCCCTTCCCCAGCCCACTGGCCCCGGGGCTCCTGCTGCGGCCCCGCAGGCCCTCCCTTCCCGTGCTGTGGAGAGCCGGGCAGGGAGGTGCCGGGCCTTGGGAGAGCCTGCCAGAAGGATCCGGCAGGAGAAGAGGGCGCATGGCAGCACCCTTGTGTGGAAATGGGGAGCCCTCAGGTGGGCAAGGAGGGCTCCGTCAGCTGAATGTGGGTGCGGAGGACCTGCAGAGCCAGGGTCTCAATCCTCCCGTGGGCTCACGGGGAGGGAAGGCAAAAGCCTGCCAGGGCTCCCTTCACAGGGAGGCAGCGCGTTCCTTGCCCTGACGCCGCTGCCGCAGGCTGGGTCTCCACGGGGTGCAGCGCAGGGCAGAGCCCTCCAGAGCTCCTCCTCACGCGGCGCTGGGCCCCGGGTCCGCTCTCAGGGGTTAGGGCTTTCGTCCCACCCGCCACAGCTTGGCTCCTTCCTCTCTCCCGCAGGCCTCGCCCTTGGGAGAAGGCAACACCTTCCTCTTCAAAGAGAAGCCTCTCCACTTCCTGGGGCGGCTGATGGGGCACCTCACCCTGTCCTGTGCCGAGACGGACCAGGAGATCAGCTGCGGGGCTGTGGAGGCGCTGCGTGCCTTCCACAGGTTCATCCTGGTGCGACAGAGTAAGAGAGGCTGGGGCGGGCCGGGGCCTTCCAGCCACAAGGGCCCAGGCAAGGCGCTGCACCGCCTCGGCCCCCCCCGCTCTGCTGGAGGAAGGAGCAGCAAACGCCTCTGGGGCTGGAGCAGGGGAGCAGCCGTGCTGCGCCAAGCCCAGGGCCCACGCAGCCCTCCTTGGAGGGGCGGCCTGGGGCCTGTCCCGAGAACCCTTGGGCTGGAGGCAGCAGCATCCCAGGGCTTCTCTCCTCCTCCCGAGCAGAAAGCCAGACCGAACTCTGCTGTCCTTCTGCAGCCTAAGAGGCGGTTTCCCCTCCTCCCCCTGGCCATGGGCCCACTGCCACCCTGGCACGTCTCTGGCTCCCCACAGAGTGGAGAGCCAGGCACAGAGCTCTCCCTGACGCCCCCGCCTGCTGCCTCCAGCTCTCCGTCGTTCCTGCCGCTCACTGTGTGTTTCCCCTCCTGCCCAGGCCGCCTGGCAGCACGTGAGGATCCAAAGCTACGAGTGGAGCGGGAAAGCGCTAGCACCCTCTGGCCCAAGGGGCCTGCTGACGAGGCAACGGTAACGAGCGCCTCCCTTGCTCTGGGGGTCTTGGCCGTGGGGCTGGCGGGAGACTCGGATGAACCAGTGCGTCAGCCATCGGGGGGGACGCACGGCCTCCCGCCGATCGAGCTGCGGGGTCCCACCACCTCTCCGCAGGGAGTAGCCAAAGGCTTTAGCCCAGCGTCAGCGCAGCAGCTCCGGCCATCCTGGCCACCGGCGAGCTCTGGTTGCCGGCAGAGCCAGCGCACCGTGACCCTGCCCCCCCGCCCCCCTCCTTCAGCCCACAGGGAGCTCCCTCTCCACACCCCCATGGCTGCAATCAACCCAGACCAGCCACTGCTGCCGCCGGCACTTGTCCTGGGGCAGGGGGCCAGCGCTGCCCCGGGTTTCTCACTCCAGAGCTGCCCCCGCTGCTCAGCTGTGCCCCGCCACCAAGGCACTCAGTGCGACACCCCTTCCCTCCCTTTCTCCCGCAGATATTTGGGAGCTGCCTCCTCCCCACGGAGAGGCGCGACTTCCTCCTCACGGTCTTGAGGAGCATGGCGCACCCGAGGGTCTCTGACACCCAGCCGATTGCCAACATGCTGGAGGTGGCCTTGAGAGGCTCGTGCTCAGAGCTTACCGAGGTAGGCAGCACGCAGCTGGATTGCCCCTCCTGGCCTGGGTAACAGTAGGGCCCTTTGTGACCTACCCTGGTGGGACCTACCCTGGCGCCAGCCAGTGATCCCCCCAGCACGGGCACGGCAGCTCCACAATGTCCAGGACTCCCACGAGGAAAGGACATGAGCCGTGAGGCTCATAGAGGAGCCCCTGCGTCTCGTGCCGGAGCCTTGTGATGTCCCGATCCCTGCCGTGGGAGCTCATCTTCAACTAGATCAGGTTGCTCAGAGCCCTGTCCAACCTGACCTCAAACGTGGCCAGGGATGGGGCATCCACCACTTCTCTGGGCAACCGGTTCTAGTGTTG